AATGCGCTGAAAATGAAACTGGTCTTTGACTCGTTATTGGTGGAATCCGTTAAGTACAGTTGGGACTGGAGGGATGGATTAAAGTGTGGAAAGGATAATGGTATGAATCGTTTGAAAATGGACTGGAACATCGATTTAAATTTCTTGTTTAATTCTCCAACTAATAATAGTGATCAAGCAGAAGTGATGGATCATTCCGAGAACATAAATCAGGAAAACTCTAATATCCAGTCGGGGGAATCAGGGAGAGGGTTGGTGAACCCAATCTGATAGAGAGTGATGATGATATCGTGGATTTGGAACATGGAATTACTGGTAATGAGAGTTGGAACACAATAAAAATACTTATGTACAATATAGCAGGTTTAAAATCAAAACTTAATCAGATAGGATTTGTAAAATATGTAAGTAACTTTGAAATATTTATATTATGTGAAACGCATGTAGAAACTGTATTTATTGATAATGTTTTTAATAATAGATATAAGTTATATACACAGGCAGCTGTGAGATTTTCCAATTTTGGTAGAGCGAGTGGAGGTTGGTTGTGTGGTGTTAATCATAAGATACAACATAAGTTGAGGGAAGTGGATGGTCAAATGATTATAGATATAAAAGTAGGTAATGAAAAAGTAAGCATTATTCCAGTGTATCTAAGGCCAGGAGAGTACTGGGAGGAGTGTTTTGAAAATGTTGAAAGGGTTTTAGTACAAAATTCAGATCAGAATGTTGAAAATAGTTTAGTTGTAGGTGATTTTAATGCAAGGTTGGGGGAGGAAGGGATTCTAGGTGACGAGCTTGATGAAGATAGGGTATACAGAAGGACGAGCCTAAGTGAAAGGAGAGTTTCTAAAGATAAGTTAATTAATCATCATGGGAAAAAATTAATTGAGCTATGTGACGACTTCAATTTGGTTATTTTGAATGGCAGAACAAAAGGCGATATAGAGGGGGAGTATACATTTTTAGGGCCGTTAGGCAGTTCTGTCATAGATTTTGCATGTGTATCAAGACCAATGTTAAATTTAGTAGATAATTTTTTTATAGGTTGTGAATATTATTCTGACCATATGCCTCTAATAGTGGAGTTGACCTTCGACGATGGCGGTCAAAAATCAACTAGTAAAGTTTTGCCACTGCTTCCTAAAATTACTTGGACCCAAACTGATTCGGAAAAATATAAAGAAAGAATGTCTTGTGAAATTAACAGAGTGATTGAGTGGACTGATCAACCGGAGATAACTTTAGAGTTATTACAACAATGTATAAAAAAGTCAGCACACAAGGGAGAATGTAAGCTTTTTATGGCAAAGGAGGAGTGTAAACAAAGCCAGCAATGGTTTGATGGTGAGTGCGCAAGAAAGAGAAAGCAAGTAATGTCATATCTCAGAGTATCTAGAAAAATTAGCTCAACTTATGCAACGAACATATACAGGAACGTTAAACAGGAATACAAACACCTTTGTGACTTTAAAAAGAAAGAATTTTATAAGAATGCTGCATTGAGTTTAAGAAATACGAAGAATCCAAAAGAATTTTGGAAGGCTGTTGGTCTGTATAAGTTTGGAAGCTCGGCCGTTGGGGAAGGTGTTAATTTAAACAGTTTACTGCAGCATTTCGCAAGACTTTTGAATACGGAGATAACATCAGATCCTGTGCTGTATGCAGAACCACTTATCCTCAATGAACATTTAGACCGGCCGTTTAGTATGGAAGAACTTCAAATAGCATTGGATTCTTTAAAACCAAATAAAGCGCCAGGAGTGGATAGAATTGCTGCTGAGTTTTACAAGTTTCTTCCAGAAAACGGAAAAGTGCTTGTACTTGGGCTTGCCAATAATTTTTTCGACAAACCAGACTTTCCTCAGGGATTTTATAATGCAATAATTTTTCCTCTTTATAAGAAAGGAAACATGGAGAATGCAGAAAGTTACCGAGGTATTAGCTTCTTAAATGCAGTAACCAAACTCATTGCGGCATTGACTTTAACTAGACTTACCTCGTGGGTACAAAATAATAACATTTTAAACGAGTTCCAGGCAGGATATAGAACTGGCTATTCAACTATAGACAACATTTTTAATCTTACAAGTATAGTAAAAATCCAACATGCACGGGGAGTAAAAAATGTTTATACATTTTTTGTGGACTTTAGTGCTGCTTTTGATACAGTTGATCGGCGGGCACTTTTTTACAAGTTGAGTCATTTAGGATTATCTACTAAAGTACTGAATTTGTTAAAAAGTATGTTTGCGAATACAAAATCGGCAGTCTGGTCAAGGGAAGGTCTATCTGACTGGTTTGACTGTAATGTAGGAGTGAGACAGGGATGTCTTTTAAGTCCATTGCTGTTTGCGCTTTTCTTAAATGACCTACATGAAGCATTGGGAGGCGGTTTGGAAATAAATGGTTTAATTATAAGACTTTTATTATATGCAGATGATTTGGTTTTAATGGCAATCAATTCGAAGGTGCTACAGCGGATGATTAATGAACTAGAAAAATACTGCAGGATGTGGAATCTAAAAATAAATTTAGATAAATCCAAAATTCTGGTGTTCAGAAGAGGAGGTGGTGTGATCAGGGAATCTTGGAAACTCAATGATCGAGTATTAGAGGTAGTGAATAACTATAATTATTTAGGAATGATATTAACACCCAAGTTGTCGTATAAAGCTCATCTAAAAAAGCGCCAGAGTTTGGCAAAAGTGGCGATTCACACGGCTTGGAGTAGTTTAGTGTCTAAGGCTGAAATACCCTTTTTGGCTAAAGTAACAGTGTATGAGTCAGTGGTAAGATCGATTTTGACTTATGGGTCTCAGGTATGGGGTATTTTTGAGTACGATGAGGTGGAAATAGTCAGAAGATTTTATATAAAAAAAATGTTTTCTTGTCCAAGGTATTGTCCTAACTTTATGTTAGATTTGGAGACAGGTATTGCTAGAGTCAGCCTATATACGATGAACTTACATAAAAACTATGTTAAAAAAATACTAGGATATACGAATGATAGGTTGCCAAAATTTCTTTTGAAGGAAATGATGAGAGCAAGGTGTGGCTGGTGGAAAGATTGGATGAGCATGGGAGAAAAATTTGGTATTGAGGTTAGGTGTGAATGGGAGTGGAGAGATAGCTGGCCTAGTATGATTGAAAATATGATAGAAAAGAAGAAGGAGGAGATACAGCGTCAGGCTGAGAACAGGGCACTCGAATCAAATTTTTGTGGACACTACAAAGAACTGAGGGAAGAAGGAGTAAACATACATTACCTACTGGAAATGGAAAATTTTGGGGATATTCGATGGCTCTTTAAATTAAGATGTGGGGTTCTATATTTGAATGATCGACCTGGCAGAAATGATGAAAGAAGATTTTGCTCAATGTGTAACACGAAGGAAAGGGAAGATGTGATAAATTTTTTGGGAAAATGTTCGGTGTTGAGACATATTAGGTTAAAGTGGTTGGGTAGACATGAACTTAGTAGAGTGGAAGTAGTTACTATGATGAGACAGGGCAAGGCTGAGTTAGCAGGTTATTGTAGGGAGGCATGGGTGTATAGGTATGAGTTAGTGAGCCTATTTAACTACTAAATCTATTAGCGTGGTGTTATATTAAAATTAGGATTAATAATTTGTTTGCTTATATCTATTGTCTTTTTATCTATCTGGTCTATCTTGACTAATATTGTTATTATTATTGTTACTATTATTATTGTTGTATCTGCAGCTTTCACTTCCTTAAAGGGATATTCAATCTTTTCAATTGTAATCTATACCTCACTGTTATACATTGTTATTATTGTTAAGTTTAGTGCGAAGTGTTACTTAGTAGGATATATACATTTAGTTTATTACTAACATTTATATGAATATTTACATAATTTATTTTTTATTTATTTTAATGGCCTTGTTAGATAGAATAAGCCTTTGTATAATTTTTTGTATATTAATTAGGGAATATTTGTTTGCCAACCCTCCTGATGGCATGTGCCAAGGAGAACAAATGTCACTAAAAGTATTGTATTGTATTTTTTTTTATATTGAGAAATAAAAGGCATTATTGATTGATTGATTGATTGATTGATATATATATATATATATATATATATATATATATATATATATATATATATATATATGGTATTATTTAATGTTTATAAGAAGTTTTTTTATTTTTTGTTATTATTGAATTAAAATTTAACTTACCTTGGAATAGTATTGACTTGGATAGAACATTTGACAACATCACACACAAATTTTGCATTTTTCTTGCAGTTTTAAGAGATTCAATACAGTTTCTATCTACTTCATCCAAATAAGAGAATACTGGGCTAGCAATTAAGAAAAAATGAAATTATAAAAATAAATTACAAATATTTTAAATATTACAAAATGTATTAAAAATATGTAATAAATTATAAATAAATAAAAGTATTTCTGTGCAATAAAACACTTGCTAAAATACCGTGGGGTCTATATATTATGACTAACGTTTTACAAAAACTAAAGGCAACTAAAAACAGTTATTCTTTAACTTGTTATTTAATTGTTGTATAAAATTTCTCAACTTAATTGAAGTATTTGTTACACAAAGTATAAGCTACTGTTACCTAGCTGGTATAAGTATTACCTAGCTGGTGAATATGGAGTTTTTTTTATTAGTGTATGTGCATGTTACAAATCCAGCTCCTTTATGACATTTGCCAATGCTACTTCTTTGCATGTCTAAAATTATCTTCCACTTAGTAATCCATATTCATATTGTATTCAGAAATTTTTTATTCAGAAATTCAGAAATTGTATTCAGAAATTTAGTAATGTTTGTTTACCTGTTTCAAAAAAAAAAATAGTGGCTAGTCCTAGAAAGAGAACTGTAAAATAGCATATAAAGAATAAATATAAGGCGAAACTAACTATTTAAATAAAAAAAAATAAAAAAAAGAGGAATATAGTACACACAAAAAAGACAATATTTTAAAATATTATTTTGTCACACAAAACCTACTTGTAGTTTGACGAATTGTTTTGAAATCGGCTAAATTTGGCAGCATCACTTTGTTGGTGTTTAGACATAGGTTTTTCTTCATCATCAACCAACATAACATTATTTTCTAAACTCATATCGACCATTTTTTGCACATCAACAATATTTTGTTCTAAAACCAAATGTTCTACAATTTAATTTAGTAGGTTATATTATACTTATTTATACTTATAAATTACATAATATAATAACATTTGTTTATATATTTTGGTTGTTCTTACGTGATTTTTTATCTGCTTCTTCTAATACTTCCAAAATTGAAACAATATCTTCAAAACTTTCAGTCATATTAATGTTCTCGTTAGAATCGCTTAGCATCATTTCGGTATGTAATTGGTTTGATACTGTTTTTTGTATATCTTTAACACCAGGCAATGCATCTAAATAACTTAATTTCTTATAGTTCTCTTTGGGCGATTTATATTCCGACTTATTCGCCCACGAACACACTTCATCTTTAATGTTGGTTTCATGTTCGCCTATAAATAAATTTATGAATGTAGGTTTTTAGAAGTCGTAATTAAGTGTATTGGTGTATCGGGTATGCGGTCTGTTATTTAAAAAATAAAAAACTCTTTTTACTTTTCATTCTCTATATCTCGCTGATTTTTTGTCAGCTTCATCAAGAGACAACTAAATTTGATGTTTGACGGTCCCACTGATATCAGAGCCGTACAAACAAACAATACAATATAAAAAACTACCATTAATAAAACAGTTAACAAATTCTGTGACTAGTTTATTTAAACAACTTACTAACATTAAAATTGTCCAATATAATTTATTAGAAAATCGATAACTGTTTTCTAAAGTAAAAGACAAGACACTAACTGTAAATAAAACTAATGTTATCTACAAACTGCCTTGTTTGGATTGCCAGAGCTGTTATGTTGGCCAAACTTCTCAATGGCTAAAACAAAGGGTCACACAACACAAAAGTAACTGCACAAAAAAGAAGAATACATGTGCGGCAGTTGACCATCACTTAAAAACTGGGCATCAATTTGACTATTCAAATATCCGGGTTCTACAGCAAGAAAATAATTACAAAAAAGATTGTTTTTAGAAATGTGTCATATAAATAGAGAAAACTATGCAGTAAAACGGGACAGTTGAGCAACATCTACTGTAATATTCTTAGTATGTTCAAATAATTTTTCTGTTTACAATTATATTTTAAATCACCCTATATATTGTTAATGTGTAATTTTATTGTGTTTTAATTGTTTCTTGGTTGTTTTTGTTTGCTCTGTTTTTATCTAGGTGCTTTTAACCAATATTGTCAGTACTGTTTTGAACATATTATGTACAAAAACTTTTTTAAATATTTTTAACTCTAAATCTGTAAGTGATTTATTGTTTATTCTCACCTGATATTTATATAAATTTTAACCATATTTTAGTTGTCTCCTGATGAAGCTGACAAAAAATCAGCGAAATATAGAGAATTAAAAGAAAAAAGAGTTTTTTTTAAATAACAGACCGCATACCCGATACACCGATACAATTAATTGTTATCTCTAAATTGACCAAAAACATCCCATTCACTTACGAGTGCACTTTATATATATATATATATATATATATATATATATATATATATATATATATATATATATATATATGTATATTTATATATATATATATATATATATATATATATATATATATATATATATATATATATATATACGGATATATTGGGTTTAGTAGTCAATATATTGGCCTTTAAGTAAAACTCTTTTAGGTTTGCTAAGCTTTCGAGTTTATTTTACTCTTTTTCAAAAGATAGAAGAGACATGAAACTTAGTAAAATTTGATAGAATAAAAAGTAAATCAAATTTAATGTCATTATGTTAATGACATAATGACAAAATGTAAAATTTTGCTAATTTTAAAAGACAATTCTCACAAGGGTAAGCCTATTGAAGACATAAGAACTTCATTTTTCTAATGTAAATTTTTTATGTTAATTTTTAGTATGTTTTGAAAAAGAGTAAAATAAACTCGAAAGCTTAGCAAACCTAAAAGAGTTTTACTTAAAGGCCAATATATTGACTACTAAACCCAATATATCCGTATATATTACTCACATAGTCACTAAAGCCCTTTCTAAGAATATATATATATATTATATATATATATATATATATATATATATATATAGAGAGAGAGAGAGAGAGGGAGAGAGAGAGAGAGAGAAAAGAAATTTAATCTTTGCAGATAAGTTAAATAGTAAACTCTTAAATATTGGGGAAATTTGCAGATTTCCCAATATTTAAGAGTTTACTACATATATATATATATATATATATATATATATATATATATATATATATATATATATATATATTATATAGTTGTATAATTATTGTTAATTATTGTATTATTGTTTATTTAATATTTAGCTATATTCCTTAGCCCCGTAGTTTGGATATTAATGTACATAAATCTAATATTTGATTACAAAAATACACTTCATCTAATTTACATACCGATGCACGTCATCGGCGTCATAGCCCGTGACGTCACATGATACCAACACAAACTATTTTGTGCGGTAGGTGTGTTCTTTTTAAATCACTTGCCGAGTACTCATTACAGCCACTACACATATTTTATTATATACGCGTAGAAATAATATTTAAAGATTTTATTAATGTTAACTTAAAGAAATACACAATAATATGTTTTATTTAATTTGTATAAATGCATTATAAAGCGTTTTTATGAAGAACATTTGTTTGGAACACACTGTAACTGTAATCGAACGAAGGTGAAATTTTGGCATAAATTGGTAACACTTATTTGACAGTTGCGGTATTGACACTTTTTGTACTTTATTATTTTGAATTTTAAAGTGAATACCTCTTGTTTTATATTTTTACCTATTTAATAAAATCTGTTCTTTTTAGAACAAAATTAGTGTGTTTTATTTCAAAAATGTCACATAAGAATTTAAATAGTCGTTGTAAAGAGATGGCAATACTTTTGCAATAATTATGTGACCTATTTGATTTAAAATGGATTCAGGATTTTTTTATACTTTGGCAACTATGTCAACTTCGATCTCTGACGTAGATAATGACGTGCAACGGTATGTAAATTAGATGAAGTATATACTAATCTAGATAATATACTATACCGTTTTCTTGCTGCATTTTTTTTATATATTTGTTTTCTGACATTATTTGATTTTCAATCACTATGGGGTTTGAGATATTTTCCTTATTAGCTGTTTTGGGAAAACCTTCTGTAGAGTTTTCATCATTCTTTAAATTATGTTCTTTTCTAATTATAGAGTAAGATCTTTTCTCGAGTAGTTTATCCAGATCTATATCTGATTCAGGAATGTTGTTGTTATTCGACCATGGCGATATACATTTTTCCACTATTTTTGAGCTGTCTGTCATATTCCTTTCCAGCATTTCGTGACTTTCTTTTAATTGTTGGAGGTATTTATCTGTTTTGTATTCGTTTTGTAATACGTCTACCTAAATTATAAAACATTTTCTTACTTGATAGATAGCAGAATTCTATATATCATAATCAATAAAATAAATGAAAGAAATGGAATTATAGACATGTTCTCAATACAAGTAGTAAAATGATAAACAGTGTAAAATTTTAAAAAATAATAAAATGTTAAAAAGCAAAATTTATAGTAGTTGGCACAATCGTAACCCTATCGATCCTTATGATAGATTTTATCTAATTGTTTTATAAATATATATCTAGAGTACATATCAAAACTAAATGTTTCAATATCTTCTTCAATATTTCAATGTCTTCTCAAAGGTTCTATACAAAAGATCATCTTTTAATACCAGGCAATTCTATTGGCTCCAGTAAGACTTGACTTCTGGACTACATGCACTACTGGTTTGCCAAGAGTATAAAATCCAATATTCTTTTTTACATGAATCATCTGCTTGGGCGTCTTGTAGCTGTTAAGACTGCCATTGATCATTAATGACGGTGGTTTATCTCACAGGGCAAAGTCGTTCTTCCAAATTAAGACAGTGATTAAAATTTCCACTGCACGGTCGTCTCGAAAGGGCATCAGCATTTAACTGAACTCTTCCAGCCCTGTGTTCATTGTCAATTTTCTAACCATCTTGCCATATGGCCCTCTGGATTACGGAATTGTAGAAGCCATTTTTGAGCGGCGTGATCCGTACGAAGAAGAAATTTTCTACCATACAAGTATTTATGGAAATAATTGATGGATTGGACCGTAACTTGATAGAAATTTATTTTATGTAACAATAAAACACTGAAAAAACTTTGTTTTCAAACTTCCACAAAATTTATTTTAACTTATCACTACAGCTGTTTCGGCTGATTGTCTTTCTCAAGTGATCTATTTTTGGCATGTGTTTACATTTTATAGTCTCTAATGGAATAGGTTAAGGAGGGGGAGAACTGTTTGTCTCAAGTTGGTCATTCAGAATTATATCTGTGTTTTTAATTTGTTGATTTCCATAGATTCTAACAAGAATAGCTTAAGGCCTTTATTTTAATGTGAAGAATTTTAAATTCATCATTAAGGCAATCAGCCGAAACAGCTGTAGTGTTAAGTTAAAATAAATTTTGTGGAAGTTTGAAAACAAACTTTTCAGTGTTTTATTGTCACATTTATGGAAATGCTCGCAAGCCTTCACTACGCCCAGAAATTCTCTCCTGGTAACGCAATAGTTCCTTTCTGGTTTCGAAAGACTTTGCTATAGTAAGCGATGACTTTCTCCTGTCTATATTGAATTTGGGAGAAAACAAATCCTATTGCACTGTTGCTGGCATGGGTGTCCAACACAATTTTTTCTGCCTGTCTAGGGTAGCTTAAAGTCGGTGCACTGATCAGAGCCATTTATAATTGTTCTAAAGCTTTTTGACACTTTTCGCTTCATGTTTATTCTTTGGCTTTATCTGTCAACTTTGTTAACGCCTTGAAGATGTTGGCAAATCCTTTGACAAAACGTCGGTAATATGTACATAGACCAAGAAAACTTCTAATTTCGTGTTTATTTTCTGGTACTGGCCAATCCTTAATGGCTGCAAGTTTTTCAGGATCAGCTATTACACCATTACTTGCTACAAGATGTCTCAAGTACTTCACTCGTCGTCGAAACATGTGACATTTCTTCGGACTTAAATTCAAATTCGCTACCTGCAATTGTTGAAAGACTTCTTTTAGATTGTTGGCATGTTTATTGAAGGATTTTCCAACCACAATTATCATCCAAATATACCCCGGCATATTTTCCATGTTAGACCTCTTAAAACTGCCTCCATTAATCTTTCAAATCTATTTTGGGCAAAGGGTAACCATTATTTTTAGTTACCGCATTGGACTGTCGGTAGTCGATACAAAAACGTATTCAACCATCTTTCTTCTTTACTAGTACTACTGGTGATGTCCATTGACTGTTTGATGGTTCAATTACCCCTTATTTGTTCATATTTTTGATGATGTCTTTGGCTTCATCTCTTTTCGCAAATAGAAGTTGTCCAGGTTGTTGTCTGATTGGCTGAGCGTCTCCGGTATTAATTTTATGCTTTAATATGCTAGTTTTTCCATTGTCATTCTTATCAATGGCAAAAACATCTTGAAATTCTATCAGCATAGACTTTACTTTTTTAGTTCGTTCATCATCAAGATCTTGGCACATTTTAATCATCATTTTAACAAGCTCTTTTGGATACTTAGATTCCGATGTTTTCTCATTAGTATTCATAGAACAAATTGAAGCTACTGGAACACACTGTGCGATTAAAGTTCTTTTACTTAACTGAGTGCCCTTTAAATTCATAACTGCTACAGGAACGACATCTCGAGATTTCACCAAAGCTTTTGCCGTTGGGCACTCGGCATTGTTTACACCTTCGACCATCCTAAAACTTTCCTCTCGGCAGTAACCATCAGGTCTGGTCATCAAAATTTTCTTACTATTACCAGGTATTGTAACGTCACAAGTAGTTATTAAGCTGATAACATCTTCTTTGTCTTCATGAAACGGCAACTCTTCACCACGCATTTAGAGAACTGCATCTTAGACATTCAATACAGCCCCAATATGAACTCGTCGGAGATCTCTGCAATTACTACTCTATGTTTCACTGTGGTCTGGCCAATGGATACTGACATATTAGTCTCGCCATATGTATTAATTATCTCACCAATTGTTGTTGTAAGCTTTACTGTTGCAGGCGATAATTTAAGATGGCCTTGTACAACTTCTGGACGTGCAATAGTTCTTGTTGCACCTGTATCTACCAAAAACGATCTACATATATTATTGATACGACCCTCGACGTACAAGCTATGAATTCCACCGAAGGACATAATGTTTACAGTTTCTATGGAGGCTGTGTTTCTCGAGGTCGGCAGTTGTCCCTTGGTGTCGATCCATTCTAGTTTTTCGAGTGTTGTATTATTTTCTTGCAATTACGGCAAATGTGACCTACGTTAGCACAATTCCAACATCTGGGCTCGCGTCTCTTCGGCATCATATTACGAACTACTTTTCGTATCATTTCTTCCAGACGTTCATCGTTTGGTTTGTTGCCTTCTTTAATGGTTCTTACTCGATGTCTCCGTGAAGTTTGACTAGCTGTTTCTTGTTCCATGGCAATGGCGAGTGCTTTGCCAGTCTTTCTTTTCTAGAACTTTCATCTAGAACTTTCGGTCTTGCTAGTCGTTAATAGCAACAAGTTAGACTCAGATCCGTTGACTGAGTCGAATATCGAATATGATAAAAATAAAAATAATGACCAATACAGATGATCCCAGACGTATAAATATAAATGGCAGTGAAATCCAGGAATATATCGACCTAGGCCCAATTCTGAAAACAAAAGTGCGGAAATTAGTAGAAGAGCAGGACTGGCATGGACAGGATTCGCAAAACTCAGTTGAATACTGAAGAACCGCAAAATGCCTCAATACTTGTTTGGCAAAGTACTAAACCAATGCATTCCTATCATGATATTATATGCATGTCAAACCTGGATCCTGATTAAGGCAAATATAAATAAACTTGCCACAACAGAAAAGGCAAGATAAAGAGCAATGTGAGGTTAGGTTAGGTTAGGTACGACTGATATATGAAATGGGGAACGACTGGGTAAAATTAAAGACAAAAGTTGAAAACGTTGGAACGCCACAGTACAACACTGGAGACCTTTCAAAGATAGACGAGCAAGAGGAAGACCACAGGTGAGAAGGGTGGATGACATCAAAAGAATAGCCGAAACAAATTAAAAGTATGTTGCTCAGGATAGAGATCGATGGAAGGACTAGAGAAAGGCCTAAGCTTAAAAACGGACAAGAGAAGGCTAAGAAGAAGATAACCAATTATAAATCCTTTAAGAGGGATCTTAAAATAAGGTACGGATATACTCTGGAATACCAAAAAATAACGTTGAGGCTTAACTGGTAGAAGACTGGTTAAAAAGGCAATAGTCACCTCAAATAAGAACTGTCCGGTAAAATAATGCAGCTTATCACGACAATCAGTTTGAATAAGGAGCTAAATGATCATAGAACAGAAACAAGACGTCTCTTTAATAAGAAATCTCTCTCTGCTGCGTCGTATATATATATATAGTTATATATATATATATATATATATATATATATATATGTTCGGAAAGATTTCCGCGGTTAGTACAATAAAACTTAGAGCTAAGATTAATATTATTACTAAAATTAATATTAAAACTCACCAGTCTTCCGGGTTGAACCGCGTCGTAATCCATTTTGCCAAGCTTTCGGCATCCTCTTTGATGCCTTCCTCAGGGCTTCCGAGGTCACAGTAGTGATCGTGCAGTGAATAGTGAACAGTGCAGTAGTGTCTGGGGCTCGGGAGACTGAGACCTCGGAAGCCCTGAGGAAGGCATCAAAGAGGATGCCGAAAGCTTGGCAAAATGGATTACGACGCGGTTCAACCCGGAAGACTGGTGAGTTTAATATTAATTTTAGTAATAATATTAATCTTAGCTCTAAGTTTTATATATATATATATATATATATATATATATATATATATTATATATATATATATATATATATATATTTAGTTATTTATATATATATATATATATATATATTATATATATATATATATATATTTATATATATATATATATATATATATATATATATATATATATAAATATATATATTTATTTATTTATTTATATATGTACAAGTAAAATTGAATGGCATGTTTCGCAACACAGGAAAACGAAATAGGTATGTTGATGAATGGTTACCGTATAATATACATATTTCTAACTATTGGTCGTCTTCAGTATAGTGCAGTCAAGTTAGAAAAGAAGCATGTTAGCTTAAAAAAGGATCATTATAGAAGCAATACATCCAATTTGTAGCCTTAGAGTTCAGAGATCCTGATGGATTCTAGAGCAACAACTAACAATAACCACCAGGGTAGCAACAGCTACCTATAACAAGGAAGGTTGCCTTCCATCGCAATACCTATTTTTTTTTATTTTGTGAGATGTTATTACATTTTCCTTTTATTATTCACTCGCAAAAACCTTTTCTACTTGTTTTAAACGTTTTAACGTTTGGCATTTTTTTCCGTAGGTGTCTGTAGCTTCCTTCGTGGACGTTGTTAGTTGTTGCTCTGTAAACCATCAGAGTATTCTTAATCTAATGCCACAAATTGGTCGCATTGCTCTTGTAGTGATTCTTTTCCAATTGAACATTCTGCTTTTCTAACTTGACGGCAAGGTACTGATGACGACCAATAGAGGATGCTAAAAAGATCGGTGAACTAGAAAATTCAATCAAGGGGACAGAGAATAACGGCACAGAAAGCTTGAGAAGGTTGAGTTTCTTTAAGAGCTGTAGTACTGTGATCATAATTATGATGGTCTATTCTCATACAATAAAGTATAAAATACATAAATGTAGAAAGAAAATACTTTTATTGCCATTTTACTAAGGATCTTAGAAATTAAGCATAAAAAATATTATAATTGGAAGCAATTACCTCTTGCGAAATTATTAAAATTGGAAGATTTTGAATAAGTTCTCTTTCATCCGAAGCATTTATTTCATTATTACATCGTTTATTATTACTTGCAAGTTTATCTTCTTTTGGTATGAGATCTTCTTCTGCATTTCCCAATTTCTGCAACTTTTTGTTTAAAGACAATTTCTCAAAATAGTCGTTTTCTATTTGTAAGTCGTTCTTTGGCAGAGATTTAATATTCCCTTTTGACATTTTAGTCATTTCTGATTCGTACTTGAGAGTTAGATATGCACTAATGGCATCCATACCCCGTTCGCTATCGTTTCTTGTTTTCCAATCAGAAGAACTTTTTTGTCCACTATCTGGTCGTTTCGGTAGCGGTGGTTTCGAAGTTATATTAGGAGATAAGCTAGAGTTATCGTTAAAATCACTGAGTATTTTCTTTTCTAAAAAAAAACATTGTTAAGTTTAATCATCAGAATACCATGATTTATTTAAAATCTGTTTAATTACAGAATAAATATATTATTACTAAAAATAGGTTATATTAAGGTACATTACATACTATTGTATTTTATCTCAATCTTTTTAATTTACTAATGAAAACTTTAAATCTGATTTTTCTCACCAGTTTTGTTTTTATTGAACATTTTTTTAAGTTCCTTCTCTTCAACAGAAATATATTTCTCCTCTTCAACTGTATTGTCCTTGCTTTTTAGCTCAATTCCTCAAAATCCATGTCGCTATTACCAGGACAATCTATCTGTTTTTCTGTGTTCCAACAGTTTGCTGGTACTTTCAACATATTTTGTAAAATAAAAGATGAGGGGAGTATATCATCTAAAAGAACAATAATAAAAAACAATTTTTAACATTTTTAAAACATTAAATTATGAATATGTGTGTAATATAATATACATAGATGATAGTGATTTTTATAAATATGACTATAAAAGTAAAGATATCGTAAAATATAACAATATGTTAGATGAATAAAGATGGACTACTCCAGATGATTCTCGAGTAATCCTTTTAATATAAATATTCAGCGCTGTTATGATTTAAGTTTAGTTAATAGTATATTAATTGATGATTCGACCGTTACTTGATGGAAATTCATTTTATGTAACAATAAAACACTGAAAACTTTGTTTTCAAACTTCCACAAAATTTATTTTAACTATTATCACTACAGCTGTTTCGGCTGATAGCCTTTCTCAAGTGATCTATTTTTGGCTTGGGTTTACAAATTTATAGTCTCTAATGA